GCAACTCTGGGAGCTCTGGTTAGGCTCTGGTAAGGGCCCTTGGCAAGTGCCCAACCATGCTTACCTTTGCTCCAGGCCATAATCTACCTCTGTTAGCTTGGGACTGAATCACATTTACCTGAATGGATTAATGAGTGTATGGTAACCTTGTGTAGAGGGCTGCCAAATGCAGCTTTAATAGTTGCGCAACAGAGGGAATTTCAGAAGGTGTGTAGCTTGTCATGCAGAGAAGGAAACTACCACTGAGATTCTCTTTTCCGCACAGCTATTAAATGTGCAGAAGCCTTGTACTTGGCCACTCCATGCTGTATGCAGAATATGCTTTTATTCATCTCACAAAAGTAGTTGTCTTTTGATTAGAGCCTTCATCATCCAGCTGTTGCATCTTGTTTAGAAGGCTGATCTGCTGCAAAAATAAATGCATCAAAGCTTTGTGGACGAATATACATTTAGATTGGATGGTCCTTCAGTTAAAAGAAGACTTCAAAACAGTGCACTGCCCTCTGAGAGCATCTCAAGAAGTTGACTGTTCTCCTAAAGAAGGACATATATGGCCACTGTATAAAATGTTGACATTTAATACATGGAAGTTGGTTACTTTTTAAAAAAAGCTCATGATTGCATAATTAAGATACCATGTTTTTATAATTAAAAGCAGCAATACCATATGTATTTGGTATGTGGCAGAGCAAACAAATACACCATACAGCAAGCAAAGCAAGATTTTCAGCAAGCTATGGTAGTAAGGAGGTACAAGATGTGATCTGTGGTGTTGCAAGTACGAAAGAGAGTTTCTGCTTTCATTAGTGGTATCTTAGAGCGTACACATGGGTGTGTGCATGCACAGTGTGCGCCATGACGATCCTCTCACAGCAAGACTCTCACCACCACCCAGCCATTTCACACGGATCTTGCTTCTGGCAAAGGGGAAAGCAGCTGCAAAAAAACCTTTGCTGGATTCAGCAGCAATGGCTGCAGCAAACCTCATCTCTGGTTTAAACACATTGTGCCACGTTCCAATTTCAGCTTTATTAAGTTGAAAGAAAATCTGTTAATCCAGCCATAAGGCTACAATCCTCTTACGCCAAAGTAGCCCCATTAAAGTAAACTGTACTAATCTAGAGGAAAGAGTAAGCAACAAACTTCAAGGAAGAACAATCCTAGAACAGGTCACCCAAGAAGTAGCCTGAAATGGTCTTCTTTTCACCCAACTTCACATATTTATTCTTGCTCATAAAGGCCTCCAGGGTGCACCTGGGTGGCTTTTGTTCTCACTGTTTTCTCTCTAATACTAATTCAGTCAGTGAGTGCAGATAGAAATGGAGCCAAAATGAGAAAGAAGGCAGGGGCAGTAGCACACTTAGCAGAAGTAAACAGACACCTAAAGGGGGTAAAATAAACTACAGCATACAGCTCAATGAAGATTGTGTGTGCTTAGTAGTCATGAAATATTGAAGTACCACTTGGAATAGAAAAATGGAAAATGGGATCAGACAGAATGTAATAGAGCATTCAAGCTCCTTACAGCTAGAGGAGGGCTTGATTGGGCAGGAACTCTGAAGACAGGCAGTCCTCTGGCTAGGAGGTTAGGATACATCGCAACATTTTTCAAAAAGGGTAGTGGAAAGGACATGGGGAATTACAGACCGGTTAGCCTTACATCCATTGTAGGTAAAACAATGGAAAGGCTCATAATAGCAAGAGATCTAGTGATGCTAGATAGGGAAGGGAGGCTGGAGGCCATACAACACGGCTTCCGCAATAACAGGTCCTGCCAGAAGAATCTTGTGGAGTTCTATGACAAGGTTTCAAGGTGGCTAGATGGAGGGGATGCGGTGGATGTAGTCTACCAGGATTTCAGCAAGGCCTTTGACAAAGTGCTCCATGATATCCTGGTTGAGGAATTATGGAATTTGGGGATAGGCCAACACACTGTCTGATGGATCAGGACATGGTTGACTGACCGAAAACAGAGGATAACTATTAGTGGGGAATCATGAGGATGGCAGCCAGTGAGAAGCAGGGTCCCCCAGGGCTCTGTCCTGGGGCCGATCCTGTTCAATCTTTTCATCAATGACATGGAAGAAGGTGCAGTCTGCTGATCAAATTCACAAATGATACTAAAATCAGGGCAGTGCCCACAACTGAGGAGCAGGTACTTCAGATCCAAAAGGATCTGGACAGACTATGGAAGTGGGCAGGAGACAACAGGGTGGCGTTCAATGTGGATAAGTGCAAGGTCTTGCACTTGGGGCATAGGAATAGCTGTCATAAGTACAGGTTAGGTGACAAGTGGCTGGAGAGCAGCACTTCTGAAAGGGATCTTGGGGTGCTGATTGACTGCAGGCTGAACATGAGTCAGCAGTGTGATGTGGTGGTCAAGAGGGCGAACGCCACCCTTGGATGCATAGTCAGAAGTGTGGTTTCTAGATCAAGAGAGGTATTACTGCCACTCTATATGACTTTGTGTGCCCGCAACTGGAGTATTGTGTTCAGTTCTGGTCCCCTCGTTGCAGGAAGGATATAGCCAGGTTAGAGTCAGTGCAGCGTAGGGCCACAAGGTTGGTGACCGGTTTGCAGGGGAAGTCATATGAAGCGAGATTGAGTGAACTGGGTCTCTTCAGCCTGGAGAAGAGGTCACTCAGAGGGGATATGTTGGCGACATACAGGTACGTGAGGGGATGTCACATGGAGGTGGGGAGAGACCTGTTCTCCCCTGCAGAGGAAGGCAGGACGAGCGCCAACGGAGCAAAGCTCAGGGAGTCAAGGTTCCATTTGGATGCCAGGAAGCATTTCCTGACAGTCAGGACCCCGAGGGTGTGGAATGGGCTTCCATGAGAGGTGGTTGAGGCCCCTTCGGTGAGGGTGTTCAAAGATAGGCTAGACATGGTGGGCATGCCGTGAGCGGAGCTGACTCGCTCTGTTTCTCTGTTTCTGTTTCCATACAAGTCCCACAGAGCATGGTGACTTGAGTGTTGTAGGAGGAACCCACAAGGGCCAGGTTCTAGTCTCCACTCAGCCATGTATTTTATTTTATTTTTCTGGCATTTTAACAATTGAACTATTAAACTTTGTTTTTATGTCTGTATTGCTGCTATGCTTCTGTGCTGAATAACAGCAATAGCGATTATGGTTTTGTTCTTTTAATTGTGTGTGTGTGTGTGTGTTTAGCTTTTGTTTAATTTTAACTTTTATTAACCAGCAGAGAGCCTTGGCTACCAGGTGGTATATAAATGAAATAAATAAATAAAGCTTACTGGGTGACTTTGGGTCCGTCACTTCTCTCAGACTAACCTTATCTCACAGGGCGGTGCTTGCTCTTTTCAAGTTATCTCTGACTTATTATGACCCTATGAATGAAAGCTCAATAAAATGTCTTATCCATGACAGCGCTTGTAAATTTCAGGCTGTGGCTTCCTTTATGGAGTCAATCCATCTCCTATTTGGTCTTATTTTTCTGCCTTCTACTTTCTCTAACGTGATTCTTCAGGGAGTATTGCCTTCCTACGATGTGAGCGTTGTAGAGATGACAAAACAGAGTGAAGGAGGACTATGTAAGCTGCGGTTGGTTCCCTGCAAGAGGGAAAAAGTGGGGATATAAATAAGATGAAACAAAGCAATATAATGTGTTGCTAATGCCTTGGCCCCAAGAATCCTATCTCATTAGCAAGTTTTGATTCAAACTGCAATCCTGTGCATCCTTGGAAGTCAGCCCCATTTAGTTCAGTGTGATTTATGGCAAGATATACATGCAAGTAATTGCACACGACTTGAAGATTAAGACTCCCTTCTTCTTCTTTTGTTCCATGAAATACACAATATATGTCACTTCTTTCCTCCTTAAGACTTCAGAATTTGAAACTAGCCTTCCTTTTAACTGAACTCAAACACACTTTTCTCCAATTTACCTTCTTTCCTACTGTTTTATTTGTTTAGGCTATCTTTTTACTGAATTCTAGGGATTGTACCAAATTTGCCTTACACGAAGCTTACAATCGTATAGACTTCTGCTCTCCTCAGAAGTAAGCCCATTGAGTTCAAAGCGTTACTCCCAGGCAAGTGGGTATAAGATCGGAGCGTTGAAGCAGTATTTATTTTAAGAGTTTTTGCATAGCAGCTAAGCTTTCCACCTTATTGTTCCTGATCGTTAGTCCTTCTTTGCACTTCATTATTTGGACTTCCCGTGGGGAAAACTGATGTGTCCGCTGATTATGTTTCTTGCTGCATAGGACCCCCGTCTCGTCCCCGATTTTTTTTTTTAAAGAAGTTACGTATTAATGATTCTCCTTCTCTTCGTTATCACATTTCCTGAGTTTATTGAATGACTTGTCCGTAAATGTAAAAAGTATTCTGGGAGAGACCCTGTGCATATTTAAAAGCTCTACAACCCCCAGCATGGCTGGAAAGGGATTACGGGGAGGTGCGGGTTTCCCCCTCGCTCCGGCTAAGTGTGTATTTATTTGTTACAGTTCTATACCGCTCAATGGCCAAAAGCAGTTCAGACCATACACAGGACTGGAACCTCACTGGAAATCCCACTGGAAACAGTGCGACACACTTCTGAGAAAGCGTGTATAGGTTGCGCTGCTAAACATGCTTCATTTACGTGCGTGTGCATGTAGGAACCACCACCACGATCTCGAGATATGGGATGTTCTAGCCTTAAGCCGGCACACATAAAAAGAGGCAGGAGTACACGCTTTATTCGCACGACAGACCCAGCAAGGACAGGGTCGGTCGCACCACCTCTCCTCGGGGGCAGAATCCCGGGCACCAGCAGGCCTACAGGAGCAGCGCCTGCTACCTCTCTTGCCCTGCTTAAGTTCCCCGGCGACCGCGACCGCCACCCTCCCAACTTCCTCGCCGCCCTCCCCACGACGCCTCTGCATTAAGTACCAAGATGGGCCCGCCCAGCACGCATCTCCACCAATCAGGGCCAGGGAAAGCGGCCGCGCACCATGCGTTATGTCCCCGAGCGCGTACTGATGACGCACTGAGGCGAGCGCCAGGCCATAGCCCCCGTTTGGGCTCGGGCTGGACCCGGTGCTTACCCCGCGGCGGGCTGAGGTGAGTCGGTGCGGGCAGCTTGGTCCCAGAAGTCGCTGAGCTGCATGTGGATTTTGCCTTCTCCGGCCGCTCTTGCTTCCCACACGCGTCACCTCGGCGGGCCTTGCCTGGGGTTCTTGGGCGCTTTGAATCTTACAAGGGCCTGTACTTCTCTCCTGCTTGTCCTTCGTATAAGGCCTGTGTTACGGATTTATCCCTTTCCACTTGCCTGTGTACACCAGCTGCTGGGAAAAATGGCTGGGAGAGTGCCCTTGCGCTCATGTCCTGCGTGTACGTTTCCTATGGGTCACTGCGGAAACAGCATGCTGGAATAGCTGGACCTTTGGTCTGACCCAGCCTGACTCTTATGCTCGTATGGCTTGACTCTGAGCCTGGAAGCGTTTACACTGAGCCTTTCTAGCGCCGTCTTCCCCAATCAGTACTCCTGGTTGCCCCTCTAAAAGCTGTTCAACATAAGGGATGTCAAAGCTCTGGGAGAGCAGCACGTTGTCGTTAAAGGTTGAATGAGGGAAATAAATAAAGATGTGTTAATATTATCATTGTGTAGCTGCCAATGAGAATTAAGTTCTTAAAACATAGAAAACGTATCTTATCCCAGGCAAGTGTTTACCATCTAGCTCAATATTATCTTCACTAAGAGGAAGAGGCTTTCCAGGGTCTCTCAAGCAGAGGGCTTTCACATCACCTGCTACGGGGTCTTGAGCATCTGGGACCTTCTCCATGTAATATATATGCTTCATTGCTGAGCTGCAGGTCCTTTCTTCTTGGTCAACCAATAATCAGTTTTAAAGCATCATTATGAAGGTCTGTGGCCTAATGCTAGGAGAACTTAGCTTGTGTTAACATGCTGTTGCCTGAAACTCTTGAGTGATGTGGGAGAAAATGAATGGGAATGGATAGGCTAGGTTACTGTTTTCCAATCTTTGTGAAGTCAAAAGAATGCCTGAGGATGTATGCTATCTTGCTGCCCTTCCTATTCTATAAAAATATTATGAAAATGAGAATGAGCTGTGTGTGGACAGAGATGTTTAATTCAGTGTACCAAGAAAGCATGCATTGTATAAAACTAAATATGAGAGGTGCAGTTTAATTCTTGTATCTGAAGATTTCTTCCTACATTTTGTCCTGCCTCTCTGATATTTCTTAAATGAAAGCTTTGCAAATGAGTTCCTTGGAATAAAATTTGGTAAGTTATTAATGCAAAGAATGATGGATTTAATAACCGTTTTTGTTTGCTGGGTTCCTACAGCAATTTGAAACCTACTTACTAACATTTCACATGCACACAACTTAGTATTTTATGGCTGTTTAATACTTGATTCCACTTGGTTACAGGCCTCTTTTAATGCAGCTTTTTGGACAGATCTGCCTTGGAGAAAAAAAGGCAATGACTCCCTCTCAAGCTGCTCTGTGACACACAAGCTTGAGAGGGAAGATGTGTTGATAAATGTGAAGAAAGTTATCCATGCAGTTACTGGATTGATAGATGGACATTAGTGACCACTGGTATCTTGTCATTTAACGCACAAAAGCTAAAACATACTTTCTTACTTTTGTAAATAACGAGCCCACATATTTGCATGTGCTGCAAATGATTAAATTCCAGAAATGGCCATTATTGACTTATATAGTATGTGTCCTATCCTAAAACCTGATAAATATGAGACAGAAAACTGGACAAAAACAGGTTTCTAGCTAACTTTGGCTGAAATTAAATCCAGGATTGGAGAATATAATATATAATGTAATATAATATAATAAGGCAACAGTACCGTTGTAGGTTTCATTGAAGAAATCACTAGGCGTCATTGACTGATATTATGCAATGTCAGCTTTTTCACCCAAATATGTTTTCTCTCCCTTTACAAATTAAGTATTGAGGGGGATGGAGCTGCTACTCTATCAGTCCGTTATCTACCCTTGTTTTCTGCCCACATCAGACAGCAAGATTCTAGGCAGAAGAGGTGGTGGCCAAGAGGACCAATGGTACAGCTGCATCTTCTGATAGTACCTTGAAGATTTAAAAGGGAGAGGCACCATCTCCTTATGATGCCCTGACAGTCATACCTGCTTTCCAATTACTTTCTTCAAAAACATATTACTTAACAGATTCTTGGAATAGGTCTAATTGTGCTGATAACAGTTTTTTCTTCCCATCCTGAGGTTTGAATGGGATGGAAGAAGGTAAATCACTTTCCAGATTCCCAAACTACTTTTGCTGTCTGAGAAGAATTTGTGCATCAGATCTTTTTACAAATAGTGTAGCTAAAACAAGACCTTCGCAGGAGGGTTAAAATTTAAATATGGCAGCAGATGGCATATAAAAATAAAAATTTAGGTGCTGATATTTCTCTTGTGGGACAAAATGTGTATATTTCCAATGGGGTGTGTGCTGTAGCTATTTTATAAACTTCTGAAGTTAGTCATTAGGAAAGTGTCTTATTTTTAAAAAGCATCTTCTAGAGGCATTCTTCCAACACTAACCTAAGTGCTTTTTTAAAGATCACATTTGCTCAGTTTGAGTAATATACCACATTTAAGGTTGTTTTCCTGATATTTTGAATGCCGGCAGTACATGATTGATGTGCATTGCGGGTGGTTTACATTGTCATAGGCATGTGGTAAGCCATCGCCAGAGTGGGAGTGAAGAAGTCATAAGTGCCCTTGTCCCACTCTTTTCTTTCTTATTCTTGAGCCTCAAACCAATTCTGTGCAAGGAGGTTTGTCTTGAAGAGATGTTTAGGCTTAAATGCAAACCTCTGAAGACTTACTTTCATAAGCCGTTTGGACTTGTCTTAAATATCTTGCTTGTTCAGCTCTGAGTAATGGGATTATCTTACACTGCTCAGGTTTCATGTTCATCTAAGGAAAGGTAAAATCTATTATGACAGCAGAAGTTGGGAATATCAAGCAGCTTTCCAATATTACCCTTTGAGTATTTTCCCCCTAAGGCCAAAATTAAGAAATCTTAAACTGCCTGTCAAACTGCAATTATGTGTAGACAACATTTCTAGTCCTACCCAACTACTTTTTGTTCTAATCTTTATGCAAAGTTCAGTTATTTGAATGATCATTCGTGTCTGGAGATGACACATAAAGTCTAAACATACAACACCATTTTGAGTCAGTTGCATTGGCTACCAGTAGTTTCCAAAACCAATTAAACGTGTTTGTATCTGTTATCATTCTTCTTTGTGAAGGTTCGACCCTAAAATGTGGCTTATAAAGTAGACTAAATAAATCTTCAAACAATTAATCCAAGCAAGCTTCTCCAGTTTGATGGGGATAGGAGTGCTTGCATTTTCTAGCCAAGTGACAAGAAGCACTTCATTTTCCTAAAATTCAAAGAGTTTGCTGAAAAAAATGAGAGCAATGAATCAAGCAAAAAAGTCCCACCAAGAACCCTATTCTATATGTATCTAAAAACATTGTTGAGATTTAATTTATAAGAATGAGAAATCCTTTAAAGCCCTGATAAATGTTTCATTGCTATTTGGTTATTAAGTTACAGCTTGCAGTGTGGTTTTTTATAAATACATAGTATATATATTGCAGTGGTGATAGCACTGTTTGAATATATACCATTTGCAACATCTGGCTTTCCAGTGCTATGGTAGTTCCAGGTTCTAGAGGAACAATAGAGAAATGAACATGGACAGACTATGCTAACTACACAGACATATAGACTAATGGTGTATGCCCTTGGAAGAAGTCTGATTGATTTACTTCCAAGTAACTTTGCCAAGTCTGAAGTGGCAATACTTACCAGTAATAAAATTTATAAATTCTGATTACAGAATTTGAGATTCTTGTACAAAATTTTGGACCCCTTTCCTTCCTATACTCTTCTTTTTGCAGAAAACAATTGCTGCTCCATATCCACTTCCTGTATTCATCTGCATAGATTACCTTTTCTTGTATAGACTTTCATGAGATGTGAGTCCTTGATACCCATGGAACGTCAATGCCTACTTAACTTTTTCTTTTTCCTTCTTTTTCTAGGGAGGTACTCAAATAATTTTGAACTTTTTATGCTGTATAATCAAGATGTGCAGATGCTTAGAAGTATAAGACTATCTTGCTTTTAACTTAACTGGAGTTATCAGGTGTGAACCTTACTTTTCTTTATTATGAAAGGTGTGCTGCTGATATGATACTTCTTTCATTGCTTTCATGAAATGCGGGTGTAAAGCATGCTTAAATTCCCTTTGTAATCCTATTTGTTGAGAAGCCACACTTCCTAATTTACAGCAAAGATAAGTTCTTAGTGATTTCCATAAGCATGGTAAGGAACGGTTTTAGTATTGCTCAACCCAGACATCATACCATACTATGATTTGTCCATACTAATCATAATTTGCAATCCAACATATAGCTTGTCCTTTCAAATGTACAGCAGATGAATCATAGTTTAGAGCAGCTTGTTTGCTTTCATCTGCTTCTCTCAGCATTTAGCTGCATAAGCTCACTCCTGTCACTGGCATAGCTGATTTTGAAGGTAATGTCAGTTAAGATATGGTGCTAAATCATAATCCTCATAAAACGTAATTTGCAAACTTCATGCTCTAATTTCTGATTCTGGTGTACTGACTGATCACAGAACCACTGTTTATCCAATCTTATCTTATAATTAACATTTCTCAACCATTGTGTGGTTAGATGTAAGAGTTGAGTCAATGTGCAGGACGGGAGGGGGGATTTATTTGGAAATGTGTCACATATTAATGGCTCTTTCTTTTCCTCCAGCTTCTTGGGATGTTGCGAAGGTTCAAGTTATTCCAGACATGGTTGCTGTGGTGTTGCTCTGGGAGAATGCCTTGATGGATGACTAATACCATTCAGTGATGGGCTGTGGGACTAGCAAAGTACTTCCCGAGCCTCCTAAGGATGTTCATTTGGATCTTGTTAAAAAGGTCGAGCCATTCACTGGTTATAAAACGGACATATATAAGCACTTCATCAAGAGTGATGGCGATGCCATCAAGTCTGCTATCCCTTCTCCTCCTTGTCACACAAACCCACATGTGGAACAGCCAGAGCCTCGTAAAAACAGAGTGGCAAAGTATCGTGCAAAATTTGATCCCAGAGTGACAGCAAAGTACGACATCAAAGCCCTGATTGGCCGAGGTAGCTTTAGCCGTGTGGTGCGGGTTGAGCACAAGGCTACAAAGCAGCCCTACGCAATCAAATTGATAGAGACCAAATACCGCGAGGGACGAGAAGTGTGTGAGTCAGAGCTGTGTGTGCTGCGTCGTGTGCGGCATACCAACATTATCCAGCTCATTGAAGTGTTTGAGACTCAGGAGCGTGTTTACATGGTGATGGAATTGGCCACTGGAGGTGAATTGTTTGACCGTATCATTGCTAAAGGCTCCTTCACAGAAAGAGATGCTACCCGGGTGCTGCAGATGGTCTTGGATGGGGTTAAATACTTACATACATTGGGCATAACTCACAGGGACTTAAAGCCAGAGAACTTGTTATATTACCATCCAGGCATGGATTCTAAAATAATGATCACAGACTTTGGACTGGCAAGTGCTCGAAAGAAAGGAGACGATTGCTTAATGAAGACCACTTGTGGGACGCCGGAGTATATAGCCCCAGAGATCTTGGTCAGAAAACCTTACACTAACTCTGTAGACATGTGGGCCCTGGGTGTTATCTCATACATCCTACTGAGCGGGACTATGCCTTTCGAGGATGACAACCGCACTCGTTTGTATCGGCAAATCCTGAAAGGAAAGTACAGTTACTCAGGGGAGGTGAGTGTGTCGGGTCTCCATGGTCTCTCCAGGAAACTCCTTTGTCCTTACACCTTGACTCCTGCTACAAGCCAAATTCTATCTATTGGAATATAGTATGCTTTTTGTTTCAGAAATTAAATCCCCTTTCTGTAAAAGTATGTTGCATTGTCAAAGAGCGACTGTCATCTTGGTTAAAGTGAAGGTAACAAGGGACTCGGTGGCTTCTGAGCATTGGCCACCTCTTCCCCACTGCAGGGAGGTGGGAAGGCCAAGCTTTTCCGTAATAGTTACCAGGAGTCCTCCTCAGGCCGTTTATCCTGATCAATTTCATTTCATGTGTTCCATTTTTTATAAACCTTCTTTCCAGCTTAAAAAAAGCTCTCAAAGTGACTTACACCAAAAATTGTATTAAGGATTTATTAAAATTCAGAATACTTAATAATAATAGTCAACCTCTTCACTGGACTATTCATTGGAATAGTTGGTTGTTAAGCAGTTACCGAGGCCTTGCCCTTTTGACTCCTCTGGAAGAAGAGTGCAAGGCACTTTCAGTATCTACAGCAGCCTCAGAACAGATGACTGCTTGCTGAACAGCCAGGAATGACCGGCTATCTATGAAATGTTCTCTAAGACATTCCCCTCTAGGAGTTTCCCTAGTACCAGGGAAGGACAGTGGGATAGGTCTGTTTTCTCCACCTGGTGCTTCCAAGAGTTATCAAGATACCTTATTGTCCAGATGCAGGACATTGTAGCATAGCATCAGCTGTTTTGCTGTTTGCTTTGTTCCATTCTTTGCCACATGGTTCTCGGTGGGAATAAGGGTATCTGAGTGAGGAAATGAGCTTACTCTCTTGTTCCTTCAGAAAGGACTACTCCAAAATGGAAATAGTTCAGCTTGGCCAAAATGTGACCTAGAAAGAACTTTATTTTTACTTGATAAATAAATATACATTTATTTATCTATAAATAAACATTGCTTTATTTATTAGATTAATATCCTGCCTTTTTTTTTTTTTAAGAACTCAAAGTAGCTTACACAATTCTCTTCCTGCTGCTCTCAGTCTTATCCCCACAATGCTCCTGTGAGGTAGGTGTGACTGGTCCAAAGTCACCCAGCTGGTTCCATGGCGGACTAGGGACTAGGACACTGATCGCCTGTGTTTCAGCCCCATGCTCTTAACCACTACACTGGTTCTCATTATATGACTAAGAGCAATTTTTGAATCAGGGGGTTGAGAACTGACAGTAAAATAACTGTCTGAAAAAGTAAATGGGATGCTTAATATTTCTGGCATTTTAGATATATGAGTCTGTGCTGGCAATTTAGTAATGTCTTTTGTGGATTGCAGTGATCTGGATGCTAAATCAGAATATAGGGTGATGCAGAAACACAAGTTGCTCTTCTTAAAAACTTTCTCTGGAGAAGGTTAGTTGTGGCCTAAGACTTCACACATCCTTCAAAAAAAGTACCTTTACCAGTACAGAACAGGGCTTTTGCTCTGTAGCTTCTGTAAAGTGCCTTGCAGAAGGATTAACCTTCTTTGCCTTTTCATATTATGTCATGTTATTGAAATGGATTTTGTTGCCATTGTACCTCTTGATGTACAGCATTGTGAAGGTACATAATATTTTTTTGTTGCTGTACAAAAGTTAACAAAAACAAGCTGGCATTTGTTGGCTAAGTATTTACTCGCATTGCTGTGACATGTTAAAATAAGTTACGGTGCAACCCATAGAAGTCACATGTTATAAGTAGTTGGAGTTAACGTATATATGTAGTTTCAGTGCCACATGATCTCAGATTAAATAACACCTGTTTCTGGGAAGACCCTGCATTAGTTGGAGAGCATATCTAAACAAAAAGCATTATTAAGACTGAGGAGTTATCAAAATAGATCTGGAATAAAATTATGCAGAAACACAGTGTTTGGCATTTGCAAAAAAGCATGTGGGAGACACAACAAACATGTAGGAAAAGGTTCTCTGGCACAGTGAGACCACACTGGAACTGCAAAACGCTCCTTGCAGCGCAAAGCCAACAGTGTTTAATGCCCCTGAGACCATCATCCCCACAGTGAAGCGTGGTGGTGGCGGCATCTTCTTGTGAGGCTGCTTTTCCTTGGCAAGGGCTGAGAAAATAGCCAAGATAGAGGGCTATATGCATGGAATCAAGTAGTTCTAGAGGAAAAGCTTTCATTCTGTATGGGAACTGAGACGGGTGGATGTTCACTGTCCTGAACACACAAAGGGACACTGGAGTGGTTTAAAAACAAGAACTTGAATGTCTTGTTCAGCCCAAGCCCAGTTTGCTTGAGAATCTGTGGCAAAAGCTGCAGGTTACACATTTCTCGATGCAGCCTTACATAACTGGAGCAGTTTTGCCAGGAAGAATGCTCAGACACTACAGAACCTGAATGTGCAAGAGGGTCTCAGTTACAGAGACCTTAACAAGAGAATTTTCCCTTGCAAGTGCCAGCACAAGCTGGCACTTACTTTGGTTGATTTTACTTTCATGCCACAATGAAAATATTGTGTACCTTCAAGGTCTTGTGTATCTTGTGTACATCAAGTGGTAACAATGTGATCAAATCCATTTCAATTAAATGTAACACAACCAAAAGTTAAATGGGGGTGAATACTTCTGCAAGGCTCTATATGCATATTGCAGTGTTGTGTCATACATTTTAATTTCATATTCATTCCATTGCTATATCATCCAGTGGCCAAAGTTTCTGGACAAATTACAAAGAATGCATGTAATAGAGTTAGATGTCACAAGCAAGCATGTACCTCTAGTTTCCTGTGTGCTGATGAGCGTGGTGCCTTAGCAAGACAGTTCTAAAGTTGCTTTTGTATGTTTCTTATGTGGCATGACATGAAATTCTGACAACTGCCATTCAGAAATTGAGTAAAGATAAGTAGTATGTTGACAAAACTCCTGTTTGACTTTCATGCTTTTCCTCCTTTTCCTAGATTCAAGGGCTGACTTGCAAGTATTTCTCAATTGTTTCCTTGCATGTAAAGCTAACCCACAGTTAGTATTATATGTAGGATTCTCTGAGCTCAAGGAAAGCCTGGGGCTTTATCCTTTTCCTTCTGCTGAGTTTAGCTTTGCTTTATCCATATCCTGGCTTGTTATGTACAAACTTGGAATTGTGACATCTAAAAGAGATTCTGGTTTGTTGAGCAAGCTTCCAAAACAATCCAGGGTTTATTATTGCTTGTTTAGCTGGTGACTAAGATTTGTTTTTAAACCAAGCTTGCCTGTTCATACATAAGAACAAGCTAGGAGTTGGAAGAAGCTGGTGCATATACACTGGGTTAGTTTTAGATGGAACCAACCCAATGGTTTTAGTTTTCACAAAATTTGTTGTTGTTAGTCACGAAGTCGTGTCTGACCCATCATGACCCCATGGACAACACTCCTCCAGGCCTTCCTGTCCTCCACCATCTCCCGGAGTCCACCTAAGCTCACACCAACTGCCTCAGTGACTCCATCTAGCCACCTCATCCTCTGCCGTCCCCTTCTTCTTTTGCCATCTATTGTTCCCAGCATTAGACTCTTCTCCAGGGAGCCCTTCCTTCTCATTAGGTGGCCAAAGTATTTGAGTTTCATCTTCAGGATCTGGCCTTCTAAAGAGCTGTCAGGGTTGCTCTCCTCTAGGACTGACCGGTTTGATCGCATTGCGGTCCAAGGGACTCGCAGGAGTCTCCTCCAGCACCACAGTTCAAAGGCCTCAATCCTTTTGCGCTCAGCCTTCCTTATGGTCCAGCTTTCACAGCCATACATTGCAACTGGGAAAACCATAGCCTTGACTATACACACTTTTGTTGGCAGGGTGATGTCTCTGCTTTTTAGTATGCTGTCTAGATTTGCCATAGATTTCCTCCCCAGGAGCAAGCGTCTTTTAATTTCTTGGCTGCAGTCCCCGTCTGCGGTGATCTTGGAGCCCAGGAAAATAAAATCTGTCACTACCTCCATTTCTTCCCCATCTATTTGCCAGGAAGTGAGAGGACCGGATGCCATGATCTTAGTTTTCTTAATGTTGAGTTTCAAGCCAACTTTTGTGCTCTCCTCCTTCACCCACATCAAGAGGCTCTTTAGTTCCTCTTCACTTTCTGCCATGAGAGTGGTATCATCTGCATATCTGAGGTTGTTGATATTTCTCCCAGCAAGGGGCAACTGGTAATTCATCTAGGCCCGCCTTTCTCATGAGGTGCTCTGCATATAAGTTAAATAGGCAGGGCGACAGTATACAGCCTTGCTGAACTCCTTTCTCAGTTTTGAACCAATCATTGGTTCCGTGTCCAGTTCTCACTGTTGCTTCTTGACCCGCATATAGGTTTCTCAAGAGACAAATAAGATGGTCTGGTACTCCCATCTCTTTAAGAACTTGCCACAATTTGTTGTGATCCACACAATCAAAGGCTTTAGCATAGTCAGTGAAGCAGAAGTAGATGTTTTTCTGGAACTCCCTAGCTTTCTCCATGATCCAGCGTATGTTGGCAATTTGATCTCTAGTTCCTCTGCCTCTTCAAAATCCTGCCTGTACTTCTGGTAGTTCTCGGTCCACATACTGCTGGAGCCTAGCTTGTAGGATTTTGAGCATCACTTTGCTAGTATGTGAAATGAGTGCAATAGTGCGGTAGTTTGAACATTCTTTGGCATTGCCCTTCTTTGGGATGGGAATGTAAACTGACCTTTCCAATCCTGTGGCCACTGTTGAGTTTTCCAAATTTGCTGGCATATTGAGTGTAGCACTTTTACTGCATCATCTTTTAGGATTTTGAATAGCTTAGCTGGAATACTGTCACCTCCACTAGCTTATTTATTACATTTTTATAGTGCCCAATAGCCCAAAGTTTCTCTGACTATGCTAGAAATTAAGGCTAATGCTAGAAGCTATAGCTTTCCTCATAATTCTCTCCTTTTTTCTACTATATGGTGGGTTAATTAGCTGCCTACTTTCTATTGTTGCCTTCCATTTAGTCTCAGAATTGGTTTGGTTAGAATAGTC